TGGGGGGGGAGGTCAGGGTGTTAGGGATGTGTAGGGGGGGTCAGGGTATTAGGGATGTGTAGGGGTGGGGGGGGTCAGGGTGTTAGGGATGTGTAGGGGTCGGGGGGGGGGGGGGTCAGGGTGTTAGGGATGTGTAGGGACCCTCTACATCGCCAACACCCTGCTCCCTGCTGTTCCTTTGCCAAAACGTGTCATCGGCATGGCTGGGTGGGGAGTGCACCCCAGGCCCCAGGAGATGGGAGTGGCCCACGGCAGCCGCCAGCCTCACCTGGACACCCCCGGCCACCTCGGTGCCCGGCGGCAGGTCAGCGGAAACGGGGCATCCGGGCACCAGTGAGTCCAGTCTCCCCGACAGCAGCTCAAGGCCCCGCACTGGTGCTCAGAGCTGGGGGCCAGGCCCAGGCTCTAGTACGGGGCAGGGAGGGGGGAGGTCTCGGGGGTTGATTTGCACACAAGACAAAGCCCCCCGACCCCAGCCTGCAGGAGCATATGCTCAGAGCCTCCCCAGGAGCACTGCTGCCTTCTGTGGTCCCCCTGCGTTCCTCTCTCTCCTCTTCCTTCCACTGCTAATCCCGGGGTGCAGCTTCTTCTGGGGGCCAGGAACGTGTGGGCACCGGGGCCGGCCCAGGGAGAGCCCCGCACGCCTGCAGGGAGGGGAGGGGCCGCCGCCCAGAGTCTGAGCAGCTGTTGGAGAGAAGGGCCCCAGGGGTACGGCCCACGGGCCAGGTCGCCGAAGACATGAGGTCACAGAGACCAGCCGAGCTCACACACACGCTCCCGCTGGGGTAAAAATAAAGGCCTGGGCCCCGCAGGGGGATGAGGCCAGGGCTGCCATGTTTTCTTCCTTAAAAATAGGCCCGAAATAAACATCGCAAAGGCCGCCTCTGGAAAGCTGGGGGAGGTCAGAGTCGCTGGGACACAATGTTTTCTGTTACAAAATTGTGTTAGAAATACTTTTAAAAAGAACAAAAGGGGGGGAGTGAGGGAGAGATGAACGGGCAGAGTATTTAGTGGAAATATCCTGTGTGATTTTATAATATTCTGTGTGATATTATAATGATGGATACACGTCACTACCCATGGGATTTACAACAAACGCCGGCATTGGTTATGATGTGTCCATGTAGGTTCATTCTTGGTAAAAAAAAAAAAAAAAAAAAAAAAAAAAAGTGTCACTCTGGCCCTAGCCAGTTTGCTCAGTGGGTAGAGCATCGGCCTGTGGACAGGGTTCCATTCTGGTCAAGGGCCCATGCCCAGGTCGCAGGCTTGATCCCCAGTGGGGGGTGTGCGGGAGGCAGCCCATTGATGATTCCCTCTCATCATTGGTGTTTCTCTCTCTCTCCTTCTCTGAGATCAATAGGAACATATATTTTAGAAATGCACCTCTCTGGTGACTGATGGTGACAGCGGGGAAACTGTGCCTGAGGTGGGGAGGGAGGGTATCAGGACTCTGTCCCTTCCTCTCCATTTTGTTACAAACCTAACACAGCTCTGAAAAAAAAAAAAAAAAAAAAAAACAGCGTCTCTTTAAAAAGCTAACAAAGTTCACATGGGGAGATGCCGTGTCTAAATGAACTTATTCTTGTACACGGCAGCGAGCGCATGTATGTGCTCCAACCGCGACTTTAGCTCAGTGCCTTCTCACCCAGCTCTGCGGGGGAGTCTTTTCTGATCCCCTTTCCTGAAGGGGAAACTGAGGCTCGAGAGGCCCTGATCCCACGTGGAGCACTCAGAGAGGATTGAACCCAGGTGGCCTGGCCCCGGGTCTGTGCTCCAGCCACCAGGCCGCACGGAGCGGCCCCAGAGCTTACCCAGAGATGCCGAAAGCAGGTCCTGTTCACGCACACCTTTTTGGGCTCTTTGATCTGCGCACGCCACCATTTCTCAAAGTGGTTTTTAAAGTAAATCTCAGTGACCAGGAAATAGACTCCTGACAGCCGTGGGGCTGGGGCCGGCGGCCGGGACCTCCTCTCAGGCCGAGGAGCCGCCAGGCCCCAGTCACCAGGCCACAGGGAGGCTCCCTGTGCGGACCCCATACCTGGTTCGTTGCCATGGTTGCGGCATTTCGGGGCCTGGGGGACCAGGAGCACAGGTCTGCTCAGCATCCTTCCTCTCCTTCTGTGCAGACCCCGCCCCTTGCCACAGGTTGGCCACGTGATCCCAGTGGGCTACGGCGATTGGCCCAGGCATGGGTACCAGCTCTGAGCCCAGCCAATCAGAACATTCTCGAGGTCCCCGTCCTCCAGCTCCCCTTGGCTTCGCCTAGGGCCGTGGTCGGCAAACTCATCCGTCCACAGAGCCAGCTATCAACAGGACGACGATTGACATTTCTTTGGAGAGCCACATTTTTTAAACTTAAACTTCTAACATCACTTCTTCAACACAGACTCTCCCAGGCCATGGTGTTTTATGGAAGAGCCATACTCCAGGGGCCAAAGAGCCGCATGTGGCTCGCGACCCATGGTTTGCAGACTACTAGCCTAGTGTAAGATCCTTTCCTACTTGGTTGTGAGGTCCAGAGAGCTGGCAGCCCCCACACGGTGACAAAACACGCTAGGGGGTGGGGGGGGTCTCCCTCCTCCTTCCCCCCTCCTCCCTCCTCCCTCCCTCCTTCCCGGCTTTGGTTCCATTCCCATCAGTTTGTGTTGGATACCGACTGTCATAAGCCCGGATGCAGTGGTTAAGGGACCTCGGGGGAGGACTAGGACCCCAGCTCTGCCACCTGCTGTGTGACCTCAGGTGAGTCACTCAACCTCTCTGAGCTCCAGCTCCCCGCACTTCGCTGGCTCCTCCTCGGAGGGTTGTCCTGAGGATGAACTGTATTAACCCATGCCCACGCACACGGGTCACTAACCCAGTCCCTTGGGGACAACAACTAAGCCCAGTATTTTCAAAGAGAACTCCTTGCCGACCCCCTGGAGCCCAAACCAGAGGCTGGAAAAGGGGTGGCAGCTGAGCGACCAAGCATCAGGCAGGCAGGCAGCTGGGCTCACTCTGCCCTCTCTGCTCCGCCTGGAAGGACCCCGCCCCCCTCTCCCCTGCAGGGGAACCCCATCAGCAGCTCCCCGCCCTCCAGCTCCCCATGGCTTCAGCACAACAGGACGCAGGGCCCGCAGGAGAGGGAGGCCGTGTGGCTGGTCCCTGCAGGGTCCCTGGCAGCATGGCTCACTGCTCCTCAGGGGGACCCCCTTCCCCACCCCCTGCAGGCTGGGAGTGACCCCAGTGCTGGCCTTGATCCTACACTCTTGCCAGCTTTGCCCGCACCGGGTGGCACCCTCCTTTATCAGACTCCTCAGCGAGTGCCTTGTGAGTGTCCCCATGGCTTGAGAGCAGTCCCTCCAGGCTTCCATCAGACAAAAGCCGGCCCTTCGGAGCATGCCCCCGGGCCAGCTCCGGCCACTGCCCCGCCTGCTGCTCCCGCGCCCCAGCAGGCCTGCCCAAAACCCTGACCCCTGACCACAGAAGGGACCCCGAGGACAGGCGAGGGGCTGCTGGCATCGGATGGGGCCCCAGCAGGGGGGGCGGGAGGCACGCGGGGCCACGTCTGGGCTCGGAGGGGTGTGGACAGGGGAGGCAGGGACGCGGGCACACGGGGGAGGTACCTGAGAGTGTATATTTATAGAAAGATACAGCGGAACGGACGGGCGGCGTCTAGCTATGGGTACAGAGAGCCGGCAGGGACCGCGCCGGGCCCTGTGGATGTCTGCGGAGGGCAGACCTCGAGGTTCCCGCATCTTCCCTCAGCCGCGACACCCCGTGCCCTGCCTGGCCGGCTCCCTCTCGGAGGGTTCCAGAGCGGGAAGTCTGGTTTCAGGGCAGTCTGGACGGTGTGCGTATCTTTCCGAAGAAGCAAGGAGGAGGAGGAGGAGGAGGAGGAGGAGGAGGAGGAGGAGGAGGAAAAGGAGGAGGAGGAAGAGGAGGAGGAGGAGAAGGAGTAAGAGGAGGAGGAAGAGGAGGAGGAAGAGGAGGAGGAGGAGGAGTAAGAGGAGGAGTAAGAGGAGGAGGAAGAGTAAGAGGAGGAGGAGGAAGAGGAAGAGGAGGGGAGGAGGAGGAAGAAGAGGAGGAGGAGGAGTAAGAGGAGGAGTAAGAGTAAGAGGAGGAGGAGGAGGAAGAGGAGGAGGAAGAGGAGGAGGAGGAGGAAGAGGAGGAGGAGGAAGAGGAGGAGGAGGAGAAGGAGTAAGAGGAGGAGGAAGAGGAGGAGGAAGAGGAGGAGGAGGAGGAGTAAGAGGAGGAGGAAGAGTAAGAGGAGGAGGAAGAGTAAGAGGAGGAGGAGGAGGAGGAAGAGGAGGGGAGGAGGAGGAAGAAGAGGAGGAGTAAGAGTAAGAGGAGGAGGAGGAGGAAGAGGAGGAGGAAGAGGAGGAGGAGGAAGAGGAGGAGGAGGAGGAGGAGGAAGAGGAGGAGGAGGAGGAAGAGGAGGAGGAGGAAGGGGGGGGGGGGAGACGTGTCTCTTCAGAAACGATCCTGCAGAAAGGGCAGCGGAGGCCTCTGGTTGGACACACACGCGCGCGCGCAGCGGCCGGGAAGGCGGCGCGGAGCCCGCTGTCCTCGGGGGTCCTGGGAGCACGTGACCGTCGGGCGGGCAGGGCAGGAGGACGCCGGGATAAGCCAAGAGGTAGCAGCTGTGTGTCTTCTCGGAGGTTTCGAGGGGCTCCGGGAGCCGGCCGCACAGGGTGCTCTCTCTCCTGGGAGCCATGGGGCGCGGCAGGGCGCTGGCCCGGGGCTCCGGGGCGGAGTGGGGGGCCGGGGGTGGGGGCAGGGGGCTGGGAAGGGCGTGGGCCTGCGAGAAACCACAGCTGGAACCTGAGGGAGCCTCCGGCCTCCCCTGGCCGCGGCCCGGCCCGCGGTCCCCACGGCATATAAATAAGGGTTAGTTCTGTGTGTCCACGGGCCGTCTACACGGAGGCGAGCTGGATATGAGTGGAGTAGCAATAATCATCAATGACAACGGTCGTCATAGTAACAATGATCAATAGGAAGAGATGCCCGCGGCGGGGCCGGGCCTATGTCTGGTAGAAGTGGTGGTAGTGGTGGTGGTGCTCGTGGTGGTGGTGGTGCTCGTGTCTCTGGACCGCCTGGCCGGCCTGGCCGTCGTGGGCCACCGAGCCGCCGGCCAGCGCGGCCTGCAGGGCCCGGCACCCCGGCGGGCCCTCCTTGGCCCGGTGCCGGTGCTTCCTGTGCCCGAGGGGTGCCAGGGCGGGGAGGAGGCCCGGGCCGGCGGCCAGGCGGGCGGCCGGGGACGCCGCGGGCACGGCGGGTCCCGGGGGGGGCTTGCCCCTGGCCCCCCTGGCCGCGTGGCCCCCGCCCGCGTTCCTGCCCTGGGCCTTGGGGGACCTCACAAAGTGCTTGCTCCCGTCCTGGGCGCCGCGGAGCCGCTGCTGGGCCTCCGGGGCCTTGGCGAACGGGGTGTCCGGGCCGTGGGCCGAGCCGGGGTCTGCGCCTGGGGGCTTCCGCTGGGGGGCGTGGACGGCGTCGGGCTCGTGGGAGCGAGACCGCGTCGGGTTGGAGGCACGGGGGGGCAGTTCTGACTTCTGGGCCACCGCCGGGGAGCCTGGGGACCAAGGCAACAGGTATTTCATGAGCACCTACTATGGCAACTCTGCACTGCGCCCCACAATCACCTCCCCCCTGGTTCGCCGGGACTGTGGAAGGCCGGCTATTCTTCTTCTTTTTTTTTTTTTTAATTTTTAAAAAATATTTTTTATTGATTTTTTTACAGAGAGGAAAGGAGAGGGATAGAGAGTTAGAAACATCGATGAGGGAGAAACATCGATCAGCTGCCTCCTGCACACCCCCTACTGGGGATGTGCCTGCAACCAAGGCACATGCCCTTGACCGGAATCGAACCCGGGACCTTTCAGTCTGCAGGCCGACGCTCTATCCACTGAGCCAAACAGGTTTCGGCAGGCCGGCTGCACTCTGTCAGAGTCCACACGTCCCCACCTCTCCCTGGCCTCGGGGACAGTGCCCTGCAGCGGAACCCCGCCGTCTGCCTGGTGGGAAGGCTGTGTCTGCGTGGGGCCGTTAGACAGAACTCCCCTCCCTACAGGGAGCTGTGGAAGCGAGGGGGGCGGAGAGGGTGCCCAAGTGGGGTCGTGAGCATGAAGGAGACCTGCAGGCATGTTCCTCCACTTCCAGGGTAACTCCGGAAAACCAGCATGGAGGGGGTGGGGAGGGGCGGGGTGCCGGTATCTGAGCTCCGTTCTCATTGGTCTGAGCGAGAGCTGGGGCAGCAGAGCTGACACAGACAGAGCTTAGGGAAGTGGGGTCCTGCCCGGGCGGAGAGGGGCGCGGGGCAGGAGGGCAGGGTGGGTGCGGGGCGACTGTTCTTCCCTGTGCTACAAGCTCTCAGATACTCTCTGGTCCGGTTCACTTTGTGCACGCGTTCATTTATTTTTTTAAATATATTTTTATTGGTGTTTAGGTCGAGAGGAAGGGAGAGGGAGAGAGAGATAGATAGAAACATCAATGACAGAGAAGCATGGATCGGCTGCCTCCTGTACCATCGGGGATCGAACCCACAACCTGGGCGTGTATGTGCCTGACGGGGACCCGAATCAGCGACCTCTTGGTTCATGAGTCAATGCTCAGCCACGGAGCCACACCAGCCAGCATCGCTTTACTTTTTTTAATGTTTTTAATGTCACTGCCCCAATAACATCTTGAACCTGACCCATCTAAGCTCTGCCTTCCCCTAGCACAGGGGGGATGGTGACCACTACCCACCTGACTCACCTGCGGCCTGGCCACGCCCTCATCCAGACCACGCCCCCTCCAGCACAGCCACGCCCCCAGCCAGGCCCCCCTCAATCCCCTTCAGCCCCCTTACCAGGCCCGAACTGGGACGTGTAGTTCTCTATCCCCGCGAGGTCTAAGTAGTGGTTTCTCCTCTCAATGTTCTCATCCACACACGGGTGGTAGCAGCCGGGCTGCTCCAGGCGGCTGTCCCCCTGGAACCTGTCACAGGAAGGCGAGTGAGTGGCAGGTGCTGGCAGGGGCAGGCACTGGTGTGGGGGGGGGGGGGCACAGCCTCCTGGGAAGCCAAGGACCAATCCTCCCGGACCCTTTGCTGCTTCCCTCTGGGTCCCGGGGACGGTGAGAGGGAGGGAGCAGTCCGTGGAGACAGACCCCTGCCTGGCCGCCCTGGCCTTTCTGGGAGGAACAGGCCCAAAGCAGGGGTCAGGGGTCACTGGGAGCACCTTTGCAAACCAGCCGACGCCAAATGCCAACTCTCTCTGGCCTGAAGCGTTTGGATAAAGCGATGTAGGCCTGTACTCAGTCATTTTTTATTTTTTTAAACCATTTATTGGTTTCAGAGAGGAAGAGAGAGGGAGAGAGAGAAACATCGGTGATGAGAGAGAGTCATAGATCAGCTGCCTCCTGCACGCCCACACTCGGGATGGAGCCCACAACCCGGGCATGCGCCCTGGCCGGGAATCGAACCCTGACCTCCTGATCCATAGGTTGATGTTCAACCGCTGAGCCACCCTGGCCGGGCAGGACTCAGTTATTTTTTAAAAAATCGAACGCTGTGAGCCTGTCCTGCTGGGATCCCTCAGACGCGGGCACAGCTGGTGCGTACCGTGCCCGGTGCCCGGCCCCCGCCTCCCCCCCCCCCCCGCCTGCTGTACCTGAGCGGGGCCCGCTGCCTCTTGTCCCAGCTGCACAGCTCCTCCGCCGGCTTGGTCTCCGCTCGGGGCCTGGCGCTCTGCAGGTCTGAGTCCCGCCCCAGACAGCCCGGTGAGCAGCTCCGTCCCGCTCCCGACGCCTCCGGGCCGGCCCGGCCGCTGCCCAACGGCTCGGTGGCCAGGCTTCTCCGAGCCAGGACCAGACAGTGGGGTCTCCCAGGGACCCCACCCCTCCTGCTCAGCGTCTCCCCGCACCGCAGGGCTGGGCTCCAGGGCCCGGCCCTCCCACCCAGCACACAGCCTCCGCCTGGCTGCCGGCCACACAGCCGTGCGGTGCTCCCTCCGGCCCTCCACCTGGAACCCTTTCCGGATCCCAGCCCCACCCCTTCAAGGGCCCCACAGCCCCGCCTGCCGGCAGGGACTCCGGCGCCGCCCGCCCTCGCCCGCCCTCACCGGGGTGGTGGAGAAGGAGGCTCCTCCGGCCCTGGCTCCCGTCGGGGGCCACGGTGAGCTTCACCCGCAGCGTCTTGCTGGACGTTGGGGAGTGGTTGACGGAGGAGTCCACCACCTCGTAGATGGTGTGCAGCAGGCTGGTGATGTCCTGGGGCGGGGGAGGCAGAAACCGCACTGGCTGAAGCAGGGGGGTGTGCACCTGCCTCGCCTCGTTCCCACCACGCCGCTCCCCGCACAGTCCCCAGGGCACGGCCCCGGGCCAGGGGGCAGGCGGCACACTCACCTCCCGGGTGACCTTCCCGTTGTTGTCGAAGTCGTACAGGGTGAAGGTCCACTCCTGCCGGCTGTCCTCCTCCACGGACACGTCACACTGCAGCTCCTGGACGGACAGACAGACAGACAGCACGCGGTGCAGTCACCCAGCGGCCGGAGCACCCGGGGGCCAGGCCACAGGGCTGCCCCCGCCCCCCTGCAGAGTAAGGACCAGGATGCGGCTGGCCGGGGAGAGCGGCCAGGCCGGGCGGGAGGTTTGGCTGGGAGAGATGCCCGCAGGGTGTCAGACGGGCTCGGGGACCTCACAGGTTAAGGACACACGGGGCAGGGTCTGAGAGGGGCTCTGTGGCCCTGGAAAGACTTAGCGTGGACCGAGGGCTAGACGCTACCCTTGCCATATGCATGCACACATGTGCACATACATGTCCACACACATGCACACATGTATGCCTGTGTGTGCTCACATCTGCACCTGTGCACGCCTATACATATGTGCATCACACACGCGTGTGTGTGTGCATAGTCACATACACACACCTGCACCTGCTTGCACACACACACGCGCGCGTGCGCACACACACACACACACATACGGGCACAGTAACTTAGGAAGCTGTGTTGCGGCTCCCGGCGTGGCTCCTGGCCAGAAGGCAGGGGAAGGATGGGCACAAAGAACTAACGGTCCTTCAGGCGGCCGCCTGCATGGCCCCACCGCTGCGTGCCCTCCCCCCAGGCGTGTCTCCCCGCGCCTCAGTTTCCCTGTGTGAGTTACAGAAAACGGCGGTGCCGCCCTCACAGCCGTGTTGGAGCAGCCACTGGCCTGCCCTCCGCCCTCGGTGCTCAGCGTGGCTGTGGGGGGGCAGGTCCCACCTCCAGCCCCTGGCTTCTATGTGAGGGCAGCCGGGAGGGAAAGCCAGGGACTGCATGCCCAGGGCGGGGCGAAGGGTGGAGGGGACCCCAGCCTCCACGCCCCTCCGAAGGACAAATCTGAGGGCACCCGGGGACTGAGCCTCCGCTGCCCTAGCTGTGAGCCACCCCTTTCCCTTCATTGGCCCCCTCCTTCCCTGCTCCCTGTCACCCCAGACCCTGGTCTCGGTCTGCTTTGGGGGGGCTGGGGACGGCTGTGGAGCCTGGCTGGCACACAGAGCCGTCCAGTGAGCACTGGCACTGGCGGGCAGTGCCAGGGCCGCTGGACACAGAGAGTTCTGGAAGGACGGCTGACTGGGGAAGAGCGTCGGGAAAGGGCCTTGAAGGTCCACAGGTTCTGTGAGAACCGGCAGAGAGGCCGGACCACCCTGCCCACGCCCTGCCCGGCCGGCGGGCACACGGCAGGCTCGGCTCCCCAGGCGGAGGCACGGGCCCCGGTCGCTAGAGAAAGCGTGGCCAGCGCCGCCAGCGCCGCGCCCTGCCCCCAGCCTCCAGCGCAGGCCGGCTCCCCGCTCCGCAGCCACGCTGAGCTCAAAGCCGCGCTTCCCTCAGTTGTGGCACGTCCGTCTGATGCCTGCCAAGTGCCCGCTCCGCTCTGAGGAAGTGCTTCAGGTGGCACCGCACTCACCCCGCACACGGGCACTCACCCCGCACACCTACAGACAGGCACGCACACACCTGCTCACATACGCGCACACACGCACACCTACAGACAGGCACACACTCACCCCGCACACGGGCACTCACCCCGCACACCTACAGACAGGCACGCACACACCTGTGCGTGCACACACACACACACACCCACTCACACCTACAGACAGGCACGCACTCACCTGCTCACACACGGGCACTCACACACACACATACCTACAGACAGGCACGCACTCACCCCGCACACGGGCACTCACCCCACACACCTACAGACAGGCACACACACACCTGTGCGTGCACACACACACACACACACCCACGCACACCTACAGACAGGCACGCACTCACCTGCTCTCTCACACACACACACACGCCCACACAAATGTGCACATGCTCATATACACACAAACTAACAAATACATGCGCACACACCTACATATATATGCTGACGCATATGCACTTGTATATGTGTGCATACATGCTCTCACACACATGTGTGTCCACATAATATCTACTCTTACACACTTGTGTGTTTGCATATGTGTTCACAGACACATGCATGCCCACACGCTCATGCATGCACACATAGAGTCTAACCGACTCCCTCTCCCTGGCCCTCTGCTTCGCTCCAAAGGTTTGAGGTTCAGAGACAGCTTGGCAGCTATTGCCACTCCCTCCTGGACTCCTGAGGGGAGCGCTCCCCATGGACACGGACCATCCGGCAGGCAGCCTGCCCCTCTCTAGAAACATCCCCCGGGCTCACAAGGATACAGGACGTCCAGGCCCGGGCCTTCCCTCCTGTCCATGAGGAGCTGAGCGGCCTCCACATCTGGCCAGGCCTCAGCTTCCTCCTCCAAAAGCACCGCCGAGCCCCGGCCAGTGTGGCTCAGCGGATAGAGCGTCGGCCTGCAGACTGAATGGTCCCAGGTTCAATTCCAGTCAAGGGCACGGGCCCGGGTTGCAGGCTCTCTCTCCAGTAGGGAGCATGCAGGAGGCAGCCAATTCATGATTCTCTCTCATCATGGATGTTTCTATCTCTCCTCTCTCTCCCTTCCTCTCTGAAATCAATAAAAATATGGAGGAGGAGGAAGAGGAAGAGGAGGAGGAGAAGGAGGAGGAGGAGAAGGAGAAAGAGGAAGAGGAGGAGGAGGAGGAGGAGGAGGAGAGGGAGGAGGAAGAGGAGGAGGAAGAGAAGGAGGAGGAGGGGGAGGAGGAGGAGGAAGAGGGGAGAAGGAGGAGGAGAAGGAGGAGGGGGAGAAAAAGGAGGAGGAGGAGGAGGAGGAGGAGGAGGAGGAGGAGGAGGAGGAGGAGGGGGAGAAGAAGGAGGAGGAGGAGAGGGAGGAGGAAGAGGAGGAGGAGGAGGAGAAGGAGAAGAAGGAGGAGGAGGAGGAGCATTAGAAGAGACGCACCACGGAGGAGAGAAAACCACCCTCCCCAGGCCCAGCGCCCGGAAAGGAAACTTACCTCCAGCTTCAGCTGCTTCTTGGAGCCTGGACAGGATTCGCTCGGCTTCTCCATCCTCTTCTCATCGCCACTGGCCAGCCCGCTGGTCTTCTCGGGGGGCAGGGCCACTGCGGGGAAGGCAAGGGAGGACGCGTGAGGCTGGTGCTGGGGCCTCCCTGCCCCGGCCCGCCTGCTGGAGTCAAGGCTGCTCTGCCCTCCGGCCCGGCCAGCGGCTCCGGGGCCCCTCCAGGGCACACCCATCCTGCCCACGGGGGACAGGCGGTGTCACGCTGCAGCATCCTTTATGCCCCCCTAACCCCACACACACCACTGGGGCGGGCGGGGCCGCAGGGGAGGGAGGGAAAGGAAGAAAGAGAGACAAAGGCCAGCTCGTCTTCAAAGCGGCAGCCCCCACGCGCGCAGGTCCTGGCTGGAGATGTGAGGGGCCCGCTTATCGAGACCGAACTCCAAGTTCAAAGGGAAGTTATCAGAAAACCACCTTCAGGTTCAGTGGTGCCTTTCAAGTTCCACTTGATAAAACCCAAGAAAAGAGACCTCTGTCCCGGCTACCACCAGGGAGCCCCCCTCCCCTCCGAGCCGAAACCGCCGTCCTCCGTCCGGTCCCCCCCTCCCCCCCTCTCCCGGGAGGGGGCGTCACTCCCACCCGCCCCACGCCCCGTCTTCTCTGAAGACCAGGGTGGCTGGCTTGTTCTCCATCAGCAGGGCCGCACCCCATCCTGGCTCAGAAAGCCACCCAGTCGCCCCTGGAGGGGGCCCTTCCCAGCAGGGGCCAGGCACACAGGGGCGCAGGACTGGGAGCCATCCTGCCCGGGCCCGGGGCCAGGAACAAGGACAGTCAGCGCCCCCTTTGCCCCATCAAAGGTGGCCTCTCACCGTCCCCATCCAATGGCTGGAGGAGGCAAGTGTCCGAGAACCCACCTCGCAGACACCAAGGCCAGGGTCAGGGCGGGACTCAGGGGTCATGCTTTTACGTCCACATGGACCCTCTGGAACCAAACCAGGCCAAACCAGCACCCGCCCCAGCCATCCCCGTGCAGAACAAATCACCCTCCACCCACCCACCCATCTACCCATCCATCCATCCATCCATATCTAGCTATCCATCCACTCATCCACCATCCATCTACCCATCATCCATCTATCCACCCATCCACCATCCATCCATCTACCCACTATCCAACCATCCATCCATATACCATCCATCCATCCTTCATCTATATCTAGCCACCCACCCACCATCCATCCATCTACCCATCATCCATCTACCATTCATCCATCCACCTTCCATCCATCCATCATCCATCTACCATTCATCCATCCATCCTTCCATCATCCATCTACCATCCATCCATCCATTCACCCATCCATCCTTCCATCCATCCATTCTTTCATCCATCCATCCATCCATCCATCCATCCACCACCCATCATTTGGCTCGCGGGTGGGCTGGAGAAGGGAGAACGGTGCCTCCCACAAGCTGCCAGGGTCCAACCTCAGTGACAAAACCATAGTGGAGACGGGCTTTGGCACCAGATTCGGAGCCCCTTCTCTCTCGTCCTCCTCCTTGTTCAGCTCAGGGACTTGTTTTCCCCGAGATGATCTCTTGGAGGCACAACTGCAGGGGGGTCTGCTCGCGCCTCCACGGTGAGGCACAGCCACAGAGACACTGCTCATGTGAGAGGGGGGCGTGGGAGGAGAGGAAGAAAAGGGACAGAGAAGGAGGAAAGCAAAGCCTGTCCCTTCCCTCTGGCGTACCCTGGGTGACGCAGAACAGGACTGGCAAGCCACACCCCCATGGCTGCCTCCTGTTTTTATATATAAAGTTTTATTGGGACACAGTTGCTCGGACACATGTTGTGTATGGCTGCTTCCCTCCAGGATGGCAGAGTCAAGTCATCGCAACAGAGACGGTCTGGTCCACGGAGTCTAACGTGCATCCCCCCCCCCCCCCAGCCCTCTGCAGAGGAGTCTGTGACGGCGCTGTAGGGGAGCGCAGCCTTCACCCGCTCCGGGTACCAGGACCTCAGGGCGCAGGCTGGGTCCCACCTGCTACTCCCCTGCCCCACGGGAGCCTGGGGCACGCACACCTGCCCAGCCGCGCGCACAGCCGTGGAGGGACAGACGTGTCGGTGCTGCCTCCCTCGAACCCGCTCTCAGCTCAGAGGAGTCTGGCGCAGTGGTGGTGAGGGCTCCTTTTCTTTTTCTAAATATTTTGAATATGTTTTTATTGATTTCAGAGAGAGGAAGGGAGCGGGAGAGGGGAAAGGAGAGGGAGAGAAACCTCTACGAGAGAGAAGCATCACCGATCGACCGCCTCCTGCTCGCCCCCTACTAGGGGGTGGAGCCTGCAACCTGGACATGCGCCCCTGCTTGGGAACTGAACCATGAGCTCCTGGTTCATAGTCGACGCTCACCACTGAGCAACACCGGCTGGGGGGAGCTCCTTTTCTTCCAAAACGGCTCCCCGTTCCTCCTCTCTGTCCCTCCTCACTCCGGGCCATGAGGAGAGGAGCTGACTGAGGAGAGGAGCGGAGCCGCGGTGTTTACCAGCTGATGCCGCCCCGCGCTCCCGCAGCCTGGCACCGCTCCCCCCCGGGCGACTGCCAGATTAAATGCATTACTTGACCATCCTCACCCGCTCCCTTTGATGTTCCCTTTCTCGGGCTCCAGAATACCTTTTGGAGGGAGATCAGACGGCATTAAACAGAATTACTAATTAATTAAGCAAAGTTAAATTTTAAACACTGTTTGTTGTGTTCGCCAAAAGCCTGAACAGAACAGACTTCTTTCCTCCGCGGAGATCAAAGGCGGCCCCTTCCCTCGCCCCTCCTCCCCGTTTAGGAAGAGGAGGGGCCGGGAGGACGGGGAGGACGGGGAGCGAGGAGAGGGCGGGGACACGGGGACAGAGAGGGGGCACGGGGACACGGCTAGGCTGAGCTGGGTGTACACACCGTCCCTGCACCCGCCCGCGGGCCCTGGCTCGAGGTGGGCGGCAGGCCGGGAGAGCCACGGCCACTTTCTGGCACACAGCGGCGACCGGGGAGTGGGATGGCACTGCCGACCCAGCCCGAGGTGCTGACAGCTGGCACCACCCAGCAGCAGGGCGGGAGGAGGGCTGGAGAGGAAACAGCTCTGCCCCACCCCACCCTCTCAGCAGGCTCGTCCTCCCTCGCCGGCCGCGGGGACAGAGCCTTGTGGGGTCACGGGAGCCTGGCTGTGCCCAGCAGGCCGTGCGGGTACAGCTCCGGGCGGCGTGTGCCCGTGCTGGCGGCACCCATCTGCGGACGGTGTGGGACATTTCTGAACGGACGTGAGGAGGGAGGGCCCCTTCTCCTGATCTGCACAAACGCTATTTGTCCCTAGCGGGATGCTGTCCAAACAGCCCATGGAGCTGGGCCGGCGTGACTCAGTGGGGGAGCGCTGACCTGTGCACTAGGAGGTCACAGTTTGTGTGGTTCCCGGTCAGGACACAAGCCCGGGTTTCGGGCGCAATCCCAAGTAGCCAATCAGTGATTTTTCTCTCATCATGAATGTTCCTCTCTCTCTCTCTCCCTCCCTCCCTCCCTCCCTCCCTCCCTCCCTCCCTCCCTCCCTCCTCTCTGAAATCAATAAAAATGTATTTAAAAGTAAATAAATAAACGTATCCCGTCCAGCACTCGATCCCGTGTGGTCTTGGCTTGGGTCTTCTGGTGGCTTCACAGGGGACAGCCACGTCCATGCAGCCACGACCAAAGTGTCTGCAGGGCTGTGGCTGCTGGCCACGGGCCCTGGGCCGCCCACGTGGACGGCATGGGCCGTACGGGCACAGAGCACACAGCCCACCACCACCACCACCACCACCACCACCACCACCATGGTGTGCTCACTGCACCAACTCCGCAGGCGGACACGGGGAAGGCCACACAGCAAGCACACCACAAAGCCTGGCCTGACCGAGCCTGGGACTGGCATGGGATAGGGTGTATGGGGTAAGGGGTAGGTTCTCCCTGAATCCTGCATGTAGGCTAACATCCAGACGCTGGCCCAGCCGGCTGGCTCAGTGGTTGAGCGTCGATCTATGCACCAGGGGGTCACAGTTTGTTCGATTCCTGGTCAGGGCACAGGCCTGGGTTGCAGGCTCCATCCCCAGTAGAGAGCGTGTAGGAGGCAGTCGATCAATGATTCTCTCTCCCTCTCCCTTCCACCCTGAAATCAATAAAAATATCCTATGTAATAAAAGCCTAATATGCTAAGTGTCCGACCATTCATTAGATCAGTCGCTATGCCGAGCACTGACCACCAGAGGGCAGGTGCTCCAACAGGTAGCTTAGCTTGCTGCTAGGGTCTGGCTGATCGGGACTGGGTGAGACCAGCCTGACACGCCCTGGAGCCCTCCCCCAGTCCCTCCCCGGCTCCAATCGTGTACCAGTGGGGTTCCTCAGCCTGGCCTGTGTCCCCTCACAATCTGGGGCCCGTTGGGGGATATCAGAGAGGCACATGCCCTTGACCAGAATCGAAGGCCAAGCTGAGGGACCCCATGGGCGCACGAATCCGTGCACCGGGCCTTTAGTATAAATATATATTTTAAATCTAGACCCTGAATGGTACAGCAAAGGCCGTTACTGTGACACAATCCAGAAAGGCCTTGTTGACATTAAACTTTGGAAGAAGCCGCAAATGAGAGCATGGGGCAGTGACTACGTGAGCCCCGGCAGAGAGCAGAAGTGACAGGGCACCCCGAGGCGCGGTGGCACCTCTGAGGGCCCAGGAGCCTGGCGTGCGCTCAGCCAGCCCCATGTCAGAGCTAGCCCCATGTGGACTCCGCACACTCGGCCTTTTAATGGTCCTCGCGCAGATGATCTGCCACAAATACCTCCATCCCGGGCTGGATCGCCGGGATGTTTCTGACGCCCCAGGCCCCCGCAGCAGCTGTCGGGGGGAGGCAGAGGAGTTTAATATTAGCCGGTGCCAAATATAATGAGGTGGCTAGTCTGCCGTGTGTAAAAAGAGAAAGGTATTGCGTGCGCATTCCGGGCCAAACGGTTTCTCGCGCGCTGGGCGGGAGGCTCTCCCTGGGAGCGGGGTCCCCGAGACGCCCAGATCCGCCCGGCCGAGGGCTGTGCTCGGGACCCGGGGGAGGGAGTGGGGACACACCATCCACCGGCTCCTCTCGCTAACGCCACGCAGGGACCAAAGGAGAGACAGATCTTAAGAAGCAAACTCGAGCCCAGCCAGTGTGGCTCAGTGGATAGAGCCATCGGCCTGCAGACTGAGGGGTGGGTCCGGGTTCGATTCCGGTCAAGGGCATGTGCCTTGGTTGCGGACACATCCCCAGTAGAGGATGTTCAGGAGGCAGCTGTCGATGTTTCTCTCCCATCGATGTTTCTAGCTCTCTGTCCCTCTCCCTTCCTCTCGGTAAAAAAAATCAATAAAATATATTAAAAAAAAAAAAAAAAAAAAAAAAAAAAAAAAAAAGCAAACTCGAGCCCAGCCAGTATTGCTCAGGGGTTGAGCGCCGACCTATGACCCAGGAGGTCAGGGTTTGATTCCCAGTCGGGGCACAGGCCCGAGTGGCAGGCTCGATCCCCAGCAGGGGGCGTGCAGGAGGCAGCCGGTCCCTGAGATCCATGATTCTCTCTCCTCGTGAATGTTGCTCTCTCCCCTTCTCCCTTCCGCTCTCTCGGAAATCAATAAAAACTTTTTTTTTTTTTTTTAAGAAAAAAGGCGGGGAGAAGCCCTCCCCACAAACGCTCTCTCCTCGCAGCATCAGGCGTGTGGCCTCTGGCTGTGACACTGAGATCGGACTGGGAAGGGACATGTGTTTGGGGCGGGAGGGGGTCATGCTGGGGCAGGGACAGAAAGAGAGGGGGGGGGGAGGGAAAAAGCCTTCTTTGGACTAAAAATACCACATCCCTCCCACCCTTCCCCGTCCCCGCCCGAGCTGAAAGCTGGGATGAAATTCAGGTTTAAAACCTCACCCCGAGCTACTGAAGCCGGGAGCGCCCCCCTCCCGCACGCACCTTCCCTCGCACCCCGGGACGTGACACCTGCCACCTCCGCCGTGCGGGCCGCGCTGCGTGAAGGGGGAGCTGAGCGGGGCCTCCAGGCCTGCGGGGTGCAGCGGGCGCCGGCTCTGAGCTGAGGGAGAGGAGCCGGCGCCCGCCCACCTGCCCCCTCCGCGGGGACCGCGGGGTCCCTGCTGCTCCCCAGCGACCGCCTCTCTGCCTCAGACTCCAGGGCCCCACCCTCTGCAGGCGCCCAGTCGGCACCCAAATGAGGACCCCGAGGCCGGAGTTCGGTCCTCAATTCCTGACCCGGGGCCCCGGCTGGGGTGAGTGTGGGAGGCAACCCATCCGCGTCTCCCTTCTCTCTCTCTCTCTCCCCGCTCCCTCCCACGCTCTCCAAAACTCAATGGGGAAAATATCGTCAGGTGAGGATTAACCAAAAAGAGAAAGGAAGATGGACCCCCAAAACAACACGCACCAGGACAGCTCCCGCGCACGGGGCACTCTCTCCAAACCAGGCTGTCCTCCGAGCTTGCACGCCAATGGCCTCACTCTCTGCACAGGTCCCCCCCTCCCCACTCTGCACCTCAGACCACAGGCCACCGGCCCCAGGCTGCGCCCTCCATCCTTGTCCCCCACCCCTGGGGAGGCTGGGAAGTCCGGTGGGCGCTGGAGGGAGGCGTGGGGTTGACCTCGCCCTGGCCTCGCACCTGGGGCGGGGCCAGCCGGTCAGCCGAGGGAGGGCCCCACTCCCCTGAGCCCCAGGTGCCGCCCGCCCGCCCTACCCCACCGGCCGGGCTCGGACATCTGATGTTGACTTTGTTCTCCCTGCAGTTCAAAGGGAACTGCAGCCCGCCATGCCCCCAGCCCCAGCCCGGCCTTAATCTCCCCTCCCGCGTGCTCCCAGCTGGCCGCTTACGGCCGCTAAGACGCGGGATTAGGGCCGGCTTCACAGACAACGCGGGAGCGAACGGCCGCCTCTCCCGGGACGGCTAAAGGCTCCTTTTATCTCCTGCCTCAGACGGCCTTCCCTCCTCCCTGCACAGCCCTCCAGCCGCCAAGCAGCCGTGAACGCGGCCAACGGGAAGACAAAGAGGAGATTCAGGACTCCACGCGCCTCCGGGCGGGCACCCGGGGGACACCCACCACTCCCGCCCCCACCCACCCCGGCCAGGTGGGCGCCTCCCGGCGGCCAGACACCGCAGCACCTGCTGGGGAGCCACAGCCCGCACAGGGCCCAGCCCGAGCAGCCACGCGCACGGCTGGACTGACTTCTGTGTCCCCTGTTCAGTGCCGTCCTCCGCCCCGCGTGTCACAAGGAATGTGGACGGCATTCTTGTAAAAGTTACCCCGTCGGTCACAGCCAGCGCTACCGTCCCCTGCGCCATTCTCTGCCCCCCACCCCACCCCCACCCCACCCCCAGGCTCCTCCTCTCATGTCTGGGAGCGGCTGCTCTGTGTTTCGGCCTCTGGCTCCTCAGCAGCGCACACGAGGCATCTACACGTATGCACAGGGACGGGTGTCGGGTGGCCCTTGCTCCATACAGGACCGCGGGCCGTCTGTACGTGGCGTGTTTCTGCTCTAACCGCCTTCTGGCCAGGGCTCCTGTGTGAGCCTTCATTTGCAGGCAGGGGCCGAACAGCTTGACCAGAACAACCCGGTCCAAACCCTCCTCTATCCTATTCTGTCTTCCACGCAGGGCTTCCCCGAGAGGAGAGGAGGCAAGAGGAAGGAGGCGCAACGGGAGTGGGGTGGGGAGAGAGAGTCCACATGTGTGTGCTCCGGGGGAGGGGACGAGTGGGGAATGGGGATCAGAACAGCTCCAGGGGGGAGCGCTCAGGGCATGCCTGATGCTGGGTGATGGAGGGTGATGGAGGGTGATGGAGGGTGATGGAGGGTGATGGGGGGGAGGACAGGAGGAGCCACTACGCTCACTCCCTACGGAGCAGCTGAGGCCAAACAGCCCATCCGAGCCCCACAGCGCACACAGGGCCGGGCTGGGGACCCCCACGGCCTCGCTCCCCTCGGGGCCTGCACCGTGGGAGCCACGCTCCCCTCGTGCTCCCCAGCCCTCCCCCGGACCCCGGAGTTCTGGAGGGTGTGCAGGGCGTGTGGTAGACCAGATGGCCCATCCCCTCCGCCCCGCCCGCTGGAGGGAAGAAAGCGATGGAGCCAGTACCTTCCAGGCGGAAGTCTTCCTCCTCCTCCTCCTCCTCCTCCTCGCTGAGCGTCTCTCTGAAAACCTCGCCCGCCAGCTCCTGGGGGAGGGAAGACAGGGTGTGAAGGGCGCCCGGGTCAGGTGGCACCTGGCATCGCCGCGAGCGTGTGCCTGCCTGGTGGCGAGGAAGCCGCCCCACCCTCACACACACACACACACACATGATTGTCCCGATGGGAATGGGGCCAATGGGGCAGGCCCGTCCACCTGAAAAGCTGACCATCAGCCCGGCCGGTGTGGCTCAGGGGTTGAGTGTCGACCTATGAACCAGGAGGTCTCAGTTCGATTCTGGGTCAGGGCACAGGCCCGGGATGTGGGCTCCATCCCCAGTGTGGGGCGTGTAGAAGGCAGCCGGTCCATGACTCTCTCTCATCACGGATGTTTCTCTCTCCCTCTCCCTTTCTCTCTAACATCAATAAAAGTGTGTGTGCGTGTGTGTGTGTGTGTGTGTGTGTGTGTATGTGTGTGTGTGTGTGTATACATATATATATATATATATATATATGTGTGTGTATATACATATATATATATATATATTTTTTTTTTTTTTTTTAAGTTGACCGTCTCAGCTGGTCGGGCTGCCCCTCGGGGCTGTCGGGTTGGCCAGGAGCGTGGTCTGTCCTCAGGCTGGGCAATGGCTGGGGATATCCGCACCCCACCTCTGCCCCCATGGAGATACCCACAGAGGCCACGTCTCTGCCCCAGCCCAGCAGGACGGCTCCAGACCAAAGGCGAAGACGAGCTGTCACACTGTCTTCTGTACGTACTGGTGTTCTGCCAAGAGGAGTTCTGGGATCAAAAAAGATGATTCTAAACAAAGTGAGACCAGGTCCCTTCCTGCAGGCCTCACCATGGCAACGGGCACCGGGAACGACCGCATCACGTGGCCCTCGCGGCATCCCTCGACCCCCCCAGACCCCGAGGTTTATTCCTCAGGAGCAGGCGTGGGGCCCCCTTTGAGAAACCTCTTGGCCGGGAGCGGTGAGTTTTTTGGGGGGATTACACGGCCTTCCCGCTCCCCGCACGCACCGGGGCTCACCGCAGAGCCCTGCAGGCACGGAGCGACAAGCAAGAAACCGAGCCCAGACCCAGCGGCTGTCCCAGCTTCCCTTCCGAGAAACAAAAGGGTCAGGAAAGCACCCTCTCCGGGAAAGTCAGGGGAAAGTCCTGCCTCTCGGATGCTTAACAGAAAAACCAGTGCTGCCCGGGCCAGTCTTGCTCAGTGGATAGAGCGTCAGCCTGCCGACTCAAGGGTCCCAGGTTCGATTAGGGTCAAGGATCTGTACCTTGGTTGCGGGCACATCCCCAGTAGGGAGTGTGCAAGAGGCAGCTGATCGATGTTTCTCTCTCATCGATGTTTTTAACTCTCTGTCCCTCTCTCTTCTTCTCTGTAAAAAATCAATAATATGCCGAGACCGGTTTGGCTCAGTGGATAGAGCGTCGGTCTGCGGACTGTAAGGTTCCTGGTTCGATTCCGGTCAAGGGCATGTACGTTGGTTGCGGGCACATCCCCGGTAGGGGGTGTGCAAGAGGCAGCTGGTCGATGTTTCTCTCTCATCGACGTTTCTGGCTCTCTATCTCTCTCCCTTTCTCTCTGTAAAAAATCAATAAAATATATATTAAAAAATAAAAATAAAAAATCAATAATATATATATATATATATATATATATATATATATATATATATTTTTTTTTTTTTTTTAAGAAAGAAAGATAGACCAGTGCTCCTCTCGATGAACAAAAAAATGATTAAAAGTTTAAAATCACTTTTCGGGGTCCCTCCGCCTTATCCACTGGGCTCAGCCGGGGCCCCTCTCCTGTCTGCTGCTGTTGGGAGGGGACACAGCTCGCATTTTAGGGTCCGTTCCCTTTTCTTCTTTCACATCACCCGGGGCCCTGCCTTCTCTTCCCTAAAGGTGGCTGCGAGGTGGCCATTGGCTCAGCACTAGCCCTGCCTCCTGGCCAGGAGGGCTTCCCTCCCCCCCGCCCCCCGCCATGGCCGAACCCCGGACCGTGTCCCGGGCGTGTGGACTGTCTGTCTGTGTTCACGGAGCCGGATGGACAGGGGAGCGAGAGCTGGTGACAGGACGGGGACACGCTCAGGGGCAGGCCCTCAGCCGAGCGGGGCCCATCTTTCAGGCCCAGGGAGGGCGATGCCACCTCCCTCCGCCGGAGGCTGGCCACGGCGGCACTTCCTCCGGGAGCCGGACGGTCCTCAGGGGCCCCTGGACGCCGGGAGCTGCGGGGCCGCCCAGGCCGCTCGCTGCACGGCGGCTCCCGGCCTGGCCGAAGGCGCTTGTGAGACAGTCACTCAGCTGGTGTCAGAGCCAGGAGGGAAGGCCGGCCGTCTGGGTCCAGCGCCCACACCCTTCACCCCCACCCCCCACCCCCCCTACTCCCCCTGCCCCACAGGAAGCCATCCCCTGCCCAGCCCCCCACTGCTGGTCTCCTCTGGCCGCCAGGACGGTGAGCCCAGCCTCTGCTCCACGTTCTCATCAGAAGCCTCTTGGATCCCCAGACCCTCTCCCTCCCCCACCCCAGCCTGGTGCCCGGCTGCCTCCCCCCCAGTGGCCGGCTTGGGGGCCTCTCGGGCCACGGGGCCCAGACCTGCCCCCCTCGGCCCGCACGGGGCCCCAGGGAGAGAGAGGCCAGCTCCTTGGCTGGTCTCCGGGTGTGCAGCCAGCACCAGGCCGGCCCACAGCGCAGGCATGATGCCTTATAAGGCCTCGGGGGACGGGAACCACATCAAAGCGGCCTCGGGGAGCAGGCTGGAGTTCAGCAGGCTCCTTCCCCTTTGTCTCGCGGCTGGCTCCGTCCTCCGCCCGCCCGCCCGCCCGCCCCAGCGCTCTGTCAGCCTCTGCGCTAAGAGCTACCAGATGTCGGTGCCCGGGTTTCAAAGGGAACTCCGGTGCCCACGGAACGGGGACAGCGCAGCTCGGAGGCCCCAGGAAGGTGCAGGGCTGGGCCGGCCAGCGGGGAGCGGAGGCTGGAGGCAGGGCCGGCCACCCTGAAACCCTTCCCTTCGCTCTGAGCAGTTGGCCCTGGAGCCGCCCCAGGACATTCCTGGCGAGCTCTCCCCCTCCCCTCCCCGCAGAGCAGCCGCTGGTCCTGGGGAGCCTCCCGCACCTGGGGGTCCAGCCCCACTTGTTCTCTGGACTCCAGAGTCTGCCTGGAGGTGGGTGGGCCTGGGTGGGGGGTGGACGGCAGAGCTTAGCAGGAAGAGCTCCTGCCCTGGGGCCACAGGCAGCCTGGCCAGCAAAGTCTGCTTCCGGGGCAGCCCCCCAGCGAGCAGGCGGCAGCCACACACCCTCCTCCCAACTCCCCCTCGCCCCAGAGCTGGGTCCCATCTGGGCAGCCACAGTGGGGTCTCTCTCTTTCTCTCTCTAAAAAAAAAAAAACAAAAAAAAAAAACTCTTGCCATAAGCAATAAGATGGGTGAAATCGTAGGTGTGTGAGGTCCTAGTGGGTTTTTTAAAAAAATAACAACACATGCCCTGGCCAGGGTGGCTGGAGCATCGGCCTGAGCACTGAAGGGTCCCGGGTTTGATTCCTGGTCAAGGACACGTATCTGGGTTGCAGGTTCCATCCCTAGCCCAGGCCCGTGCAGGAGGCAACCCATCGATGTTTCTCTCTCTCCCCTCCTCCTCCTTCCTCCCCTCCACTCTCTCTCTCTCTCAAAAAAAAAAAAAAAAAAAAAAATCGGTGGAAATTCCCTTGAGTGAGGATTAAAACACGCGAGCCGCCCACCATCCCCCCACGCCGTGTCCTGCGGAATGTGGGTCACGCTCGGGGAGCCGGGCGCTGTGAAGAGTCCAGCACGAGGTCCCCTCCCCCACCCACCCGGAGCCAGCGGGCTGGCTCCAGCAGGTGGGAAGGGGTGGGGAAGGGGGCCACAGGGGGCAGCACCTGGTGAGGAGGGGCAAACGGCGCTCGAGGGTCCCGGCACCCGATTCCAGAATGTGATCGCTGGGCACGGGGGAAACCGGCCAGCGCCAAAGGAACGGGGCCAGGTTGGCCTTACCCAGAACCCTCCAGCCGCTGGGACTTCGGAGCTGGACGACCCAGCGCCAGGCAGGCTGTCCGGGGCGGGCGGCCCGGGGGCCGGGCGTCACCGGGGTTCCCCGCCCGGTGCTCCGAGCTGCCTGGGCGGGAAGCGGGGTCGGACGGGCTGGGGGCAGTGACCGATGTCACGGACACAACGGCCCTGAGGTGAGGACACCCTGTCCTTCAGGGAGGGCCTGGTCCTCGCCCGGCCCAGCTCGGCACGGGAGGCTGTGGCCAAGCTCTCCCCCGAGGAGCCCCAGGCCTCCAGAAGGGAGGTGACCGGCTCGAGGGTCTGACGGTCAGCCCGGCTCCTGCCCCAGCCCTGACCCACACACCCCACCCCGCCCCGCCACTGCCCGCCACACAGCCAGCCGCCAGCCGCCGCCTCCCGCACCACACGGTCGCGTGGTGCTAACAGCAGAGGCCACAGGGGCTGGGACGGGCTCCGATCTCCGAGCAGCTGGCACTGCCTCTGCCAGCGGCTCCTGGCCCAGGCACAGGCCTGGCGCTGCTGCCAGGGTCCAGCGTGTGTGCCCTGCTGAGCAGGGTGGCCGAGAGCCAGACTGCCAGGACAGACAGCGCTGTCATCTGCCCCCCAATGCATAGGGTCCCCACAGACAGGGCCACCCGCGGGGAAGGTGTGCACCCCTGGCTGGCACAGAGCCCGCGCTCAGGGACAGTCAGGCTGCCCATACCGGTAACTGTGCCGTCCTGTGAACGGCAGCGTGGCGATGGCAAAGGCTGGGCTGTGAGGTCAGACAGGCCCTGTTCCCACCCCGCCCCGCCCTCATCCAGGGTCCTGCACCCCTAACTCAGTCTCCATGAGCCCCAGGGTCCCCGTGGGGAAAACAGAGACCCTGGGACTGGGGGTCCATGTATTTTATTGCCCAAACTGGGCAGTGAAAGGGGACACTCTAACCAGGCGTGGCTCAGTGGGTGAGGGGCGAGCTCTGAACCAGGAGGTCACGGTTCAATTCCCGGCTGGGGCACAGGCC